GGAACCAAATTCAATCTATTCACACTGTTATCTCTTAAGTATCTGATTATAAATTGTCGGGATCGGGACGGTTACTGTTTTCACTTCAATTTTCTCTCTGCCGACGCTGTCCGTTTCTGCAGTTAAGGCCTAAGCACCTGGTTTATATGAAACGTGGCTCCTTTCTATTGCCACGTGTATCCAAACTTTTTTCCTTATTTCCTCGTGATAGTGGGACCACGTGTCTTTTTTGAGACTTTTTTTTATTTCTCTTTTATCTGTCCGTCCCTCGGATTCTCTTCCAATGTTGCATCTGCCCTCTCGAATTGTTTCTGCTCCACCACCATTAAGGATCTCTGGCAGGGCCCCATGAAACCCACTCGCCCTGCTCCTGGTTTTCATGTCCGACGGTACCATTTTGTCTCGCCCTGTTTTTGGTAATTAGTACCAACGGTAGTGTCCGTGCTCTACCATTCCAAGTTCATTAGCATTTTATACTAACATGCATGGCTTCAACACAACTCCCAATTCATTCCATTTTTGTCCAAAATTTTTGAAATGTTTTCTTTGATGGTTTTAAGTTCAACCTTTAACCCCTAAAACATATTCTATATTTATAAATTATTTTATATTCGTAATTTTTAAATATTAATTTTAATAATATTTAATTAATTCAAAAAATATTTGACATACTCTTTCTCATTTTTAATTAAATATTTTGGATAAAAAAATGGTTCTTTGATTCATGCAAGACTAATAATTGTGATAATTCATATGAGAGGTTGATTTTTGTGTATACTAACTATATATAACTTTGAGATATAAAAAAAAAAGAAAAGAAAAATCAAGATGAAAAGTGCTTGGAGATTTGGACTTTACATTTGATATATCAAAATTCAATTGATTAGTTACCGTGGATGAAAGTAATGGATAGTTAATTTTAATTATTTTTGTTCAATGAGTGCATTTGAAAAATCGTTCAAACATTAAAGTCCATATAGTGGAGTTATTTTCATAATTAAAAAGCATACTATAAAAAATAGGTGAATTTATATATGCTAATGGTTCAAAACAAATTTATAACTTATAAGACTTGCCATTCATATTTATATTTAAATAATTTAGGGTTGCTTATGAATCCAACTATGAAATGAAAATGTCATGAAATTGTGATGTCAATATCTCTTCACTATCACATTCAATTCCAAATGTTGTCTCCTCTTCCTTTGATTTTAATGGGTTCCTAATAATCATTAAAAAAAAGAGATACATTGTGTCATCTTCTTGGATTTGTGACTTGCACGCGCCATAAATACCCTCTTCCTTCGCCTTTAATTGGTTGGGCTGTCGTATCACCATGACATGGCATTTTTTTTCTTTTATACGTTAAAAAAAAATACAAACAAGGTGGGTCTAACGTCACAAATTCGCAACTCAAGCAAGGTAAAGATCTAAAGTGAGAAGGAATCGCAGCCGTCAAATGAAAGATAAGATGGATGTGAAATGGGGTAAAAAACCATGTCGTGATTGGCAGAGTTTACTAGATCACAATGCTGTCAATGGACAGACTGAAACAACCGTCCGATGAACCAAACGGGTTTTTTACCTTGTTTGACTTTGGGCTCTCGGTAGCCTAGGAAATGAAGGCTGACGGCTGCAAACAAAAAACTGTTCACGTGTCTCATCACCCCGCTTCCATGCATTATGCCATTATTCAATTAATCTCGAAAAAAAAGTATAAAGATTTTTTTAAATGATTTTCAAAATATATAATTATAATTATAAAAAATATTATAATATGCAGAGATATCAATAAAAAAAAATATGAAGAGGTTAAAGATTTTTTATCTATATTCTTGAATTTTCATTTTATATTCATCACTATACTCATATCCAATAAATATTTTAAATTTATTTTTATTCTCATTTTTATGGATATTTAATGAATATAAGTAATTTTTATACCTATAATTTTAAAAAATAAAAAAAAATTTATTTTATTGTTATCTTGTATATTTAAATAATTTTTATAAATATATATTAATATATATTTTAATAAAATATATTAATTTTAATTAATCTAAAATAATAATTTATATTATTTAATAAAAAATTTATTTACTAAATATATATAAATATATGTAGGATAAGGATGGATGCTATATTATTTATCTCAATTTTGTGCCTAATAAAAATTTAAAATTATATTCATTTTTATCTCTATACTTATAATATAATATATATCTCCATTTGAATAAAAAATCAAAATTTTCATTAGATATGAATAAGATTGATATTTTTAATAGTATGACTTACACACAATAAAAATTTAAGAATTTAATTTAATTTTTTACTAAAATTTGAAAATATATTTGGGAATTTTTTTTTTTCCATTTTTAAATATAATCATGTTCAGCCACATAGGTCGGCTTTGGCTAGTTGGCTTAATAACAGCGAGGGAATTAACTGCCAATAGGTTTTTTTGGTCTATAAATTCTGTTTTTATCCTTTTTCTCCTTTTACTTTTCTGTTTTTGGAATGAAAATGATATCTTACCAATCTTAAAGGTAAATCTTAATTATTAAAGCAAAATTTTATGACAAAAGCGTGTAAAACCGCATGGAAAGGCTTTTTCACGTGAGAAAAGTTAAAATTTGTGAATATTAATTACATAAAATTGTATGTTTGTTAAAATTATCATGATTTTAACAAGTTGTCATTTTTAATCAAAAAATTAAATTCTTATATAGACTTGCTTTGTGAGGGTAAGTAGGGACTTAAGCCTAATCTCATATCGTGGGATAGCTCTTTTGCTGTACATTTGAGAATTGTGGTGTATATGAAAGATTTTAATTTTATTAAAATTTTTATGATTTTAATAATTTTTAAAATAATATATTAATTAATAAATTTAGAATTTAAATATTATATCAACAAAATTTTAAATTCAAATAACATATTAAATATTTTATTATAATTTAAAAAATCCGTGATATTATATAAAAAAAAGCTTTGCTTATATTTAAAGTTGTGATATAATACAATTTCCCATGGGAAAGTTGTTATGTAATTTTCTCATGAATAATTTTGCTGTACGTACAGTGAAATAATTAAGAAAGATATCTTAAAAAAAAAAAAGTTCTTCAGCTGAAGTGCCTGCATGTATGTTTTTGGTCGTACGTGACTTCAAGTGAGCTAACCCTTCCTGTAATAGTTATTCGATAAGCTTTTTAGGTTAGCTCTGTCTCCGTAGCAGGCCAACCGGTACTCTTCTACTTTTGTCAAGTTCGCTCCATCATGTCGACTCCCCTTCCTCTACCTTTATTTTCCATTCGGGTAATGACGATTACACAATTACCTAATCATTACAAAGTTCCATGCAAAACTATATTTTGGATGCAAGTCAATTTCAGGATTTTTCATCTTAAATTCAAATCTTATCTAAATTTAATTTAATTTTATATCAAATTTGTTTAATACGTTAATTAATTTTTTTATATAAAAAAATCATGACCTAAAAATAAAAAACGTGTCATATATGTTAAAATTTAAAATTATTGAATATCACATTTTTAAAGTGATAATTTAAATTAATTAAATTAAAATTAAATTTTATCAATTATTTATTTAATTAAATTTATTAATTTTGTATGAGATATAATATTTTATTATAATCATATTTTCTCCTTGTATCTAGGAACTTCATTAAAAAAATAATTGTCTTTGTTAGGGTGATCATAAAAAAATCAGCATAGACTTTCCAATTTTGAGGTTTATTAGCATCTAATCGAACCTAATAGTTTCCAATGAATATGAGAAACTAATTAATGTATTGTTAATTGTCAAGAATAGGGAGTTGTTTTCCTCGGGTCTAGATTTTTTAGGCAAAGTTTTCGATCATTATGTCCCACCTAAACCGAAGAGCAGAATGCCGCAAGTAAAGAACGGTCGAGATGTGGTGATGCATGGCAGCAGCATGCAGCGGCGGAGCATGGTAGCAGACAAGACTTGTTAAACCATATGAGCTGTAGTGAGTGGTGACGGTGGTCCAAACTCCGAAGTCGTAACATATACAAAACACAAAATCAGAAACAGAACTTTCCAAATATCGCATACAGCTCAGCGCTCGCTTCTAGCACAAAGGTACAAGACTTATCTGTCATTCTTTACTTTTCTAAGGCCAATTTCGTCTAATAGTATAACAATTTTGGTCCTCAAAACCTTGAGCTACAGTTAAAAGAAAAAAAAAACTGGTTTTAAGTTTTTTTTTTTTTTTCCCAAAATAATAAAATATTTCTCATTCTTTGTTGCCTTTATTTTTATTTTTTATTGTTATTTGTTCAGAAAAATATAATGATTTTAAAAGGTGATTGGATTTGGAACTCTTGCAAACGTCCTGGCTTTTTAAGTGACACCTAAGTCTGGAATATTTTCACTTTACCCAACTCCACCACCACTTCCTGCCCTCCCTCCATCTCCTCTTTCTCCTCCTTTTCTTCCACCGCCATTGATGCCACTTCTCTCTCTCTCTCTCTTTCTCTCAAACCTTGATCATTAGCTCACAAAAAAGAAGAAAAAGAAAAATACCTGAATTTTGGATTTTAATCTTTAAATCTCAAACAACTTTCTAAAACTACATTTCTGAAGGTAAGTCAAGTTTATGTAATAATGTGGATTTTTTTTTTCATTTTCTGATTGATTTCTTTAGCTTTTTTTTTTGGTTTGACTATAAATGTTACTGGTGAGAGCATAGTAGAAGTGAGTGAAATGGAAAATAGATTTTGTTTTTATTTCTGCACTTAGTTTGTTTCTGTTTTGTTTTCTTCATTGAAAGACAGGTGTCTGGTTTTTTGCAGAGTAAAATGTTTCCTTTCTCTCAACGGTTTTTTTTAGATTTTTTTTAATCTATTTTTGTCGGTGAGGTTTCCATTTCAAGCATTTTATATTCTGTTTCTTTCCAGTTTTTATTTGCTAATTCTAGTTTAAATCTCATTGCCTTTAGTAAATTTCTTTTCCTTTTTCTATTTTAATGAAAAAAACTGAATTTTAATTCATCTAATTTGTTTATGAATGGAAAATGTATTCTGGATTTCGTTTTCTTTTACATTTTCAATCGAAACCTGTCTCGTTTAATTGATATGGAAAGAGCTTTTGCATTTGAAGTGAATCCATTGACGAACTTGGTTGGCTTGAAAATGCAATCTCATCTGATTCAATTGCAACACTTGAAATAGTGACAATCTTACTTGTTGCTTGTTCTTCATTCTTAGCAGTACAATCTACTTTGGACATTTTCAAGCTTCCAAAATTTTCCCATCACATTATGTTCTGTTTGGTGGCTGAGAAAATGTTGCATGAAAGAAAAGAAGATTTCGATTTGTGACACCTGTGTTATTATTTGACAAGGTCAAAGCGAATTCTAGTTCACTGATGATCTAAAACATAAAAAAAAATGAAATGTCCAATAAAGAAGCAATGGAGACTTTGTTTTTAGAATTTCTTGACAATAAATGCTACCTAATCTCATGATTAGTTGTAATTTTGGTTTTCATATCTTAACAGCTTTCCATTCTTAATGTTTTATTTTTCTTAATTCTTGTTATTTCTCTATGAATTTCTAATACTTGGTATTAGTCTTTGGGAGGTTGGGTTGCTTCAAAGTCTAAAGGTATGTGTTTTATTTGCCCTTTATATGTTTTACAGGTTGAATGTGTGAGGCAATTAGCTGTCGCGGGACATTGTTTCTGTTTATGGTCTTTGAATGTCCTTTAAGGAAATTGAATATGGTTTGGAAATTGTTTTAGTTACAATCATTGGAAACCTATCTGAGAGTAATATTCCTAACATGACTTCAATCAGGTGGCTGTAATGTGTAGCCTTAATCATATACTACTTTTTTGGGTTGGATGGAGGCTTTGATGTTTGTACTTTCTATTTTTAACAGCTTAACTTGCTATTTAAGATGTATAGTTTCAGTTTACTCCTTTTCTTTGTATACTTTTCTTAACAAATTATATTGTTTTCTTGACTTAGGCGATAAAAGGGGATTTAAGTAATGGACCGCCGCTGGCCTTGGAAGAAAAAATCATCTGATAAAGCTGCTGCCGCTGCTGCTGCTACTTTGGCTTCAGCTGCATCTGAAGCCGATTGGGTAAGCATTTTCCACAAAATTTAACTTGACTAGAACACATCAAACATGCTTGCTTGAAGAATTTTCCATTTATTCATCTATGTTATTTTCTTGTAATTTTGGATTTTTAATTCATAGTACATTATTTCAGCTGGAGCAGAGATCTGGATCTGCTTTTGGTCTAAATTATTGAGCTATTTTATCTGATATCAATTTTGTGGTTATTTTTGTTGAACAGGATAACTACAAAAAATCAAAATATGTTCAAATTTCCGTGGAATCATATTCACATCTCACTGATTTGGAGAATCAACTAATAACATATGAAGAACAAGTTCAGACATTGGAGGATGAGATTAAAGACTTGAATGAAAAGCTCTCTGCAGCCAATTCTGAGATTACTAATAAGGAAGACTTGGTGAAACAGCATACTAAAGTTGCAGAAGAAGCAGTCTCAGGTCAGTATATGTTCTAACGTTGGAAGTCTAATGTAAGATTAAAAATTCTCCAATTAATTTTGGTCTGAATTTTTCTCAATTTTTGCTGTTGGTTTTGCTATAGGTTGGGAAAAAGCTGAAGCAGAGGCCTTGGCATTGAAAAATCACCTGGAATCGGTTACACTTTTGAAGCTCACAGCTGAAGATAGGGCATCGCATTTGGATGGTGCTCTTAAAGAGTGCATGAGGCAAATCCGAAATCTGAAGGAGGAACACGACCAAAAGCTGCAAGATGTGGCAATTAGCAAAAACAAGCAATGTGAAAAGATTAAGCTTGATCTTGAAGCTAAGATAGCTAATTTAGACCAAGAGCTGCTTAAATCTGAAACTGAAAATGCTGCAATTTTAAGGTCCTTGCAAGAACGTTCTAACATGCTGATTAAGATTAATGAAGAAAAATCACAAGCTGAGGCAGAGGTTGAGATTTTGAAGGGTAATATTGAATCATGTGAAAGGGAAATAAATTCACTGAAGTACGAACTCCATGTAGTTTCCAAAGAGTTAGAAATTCGTAATGAAGAAAAGAATATGAGTATGAGGTCTGCAGAAGCAGCTAACAAGCAGCATATGGAGGGTGCCAAAAAGATAGCAAAGCTAGAAGCAGAGTGCCAAAGATTGCGTGGTCTTGTGAGGAAAAAGTTGCCAGGTCCTGCTGCGCTTGCCCAAATGAAGCTAGAGGTTGAAAGTTTAGGACGGGATTATGGAGATACACGACTAAAGAGGTCTCCTGTCATGCCTTCTACTCCACATCTGTCCACTGTGACTGACTTTTCTGTTGACAATGCACAGAAATTCCATAAAGAGAATGAGTTTCTCAGAGAACGTTTATTGGCAATGGAAGAAGAAACAAAGATGCTGAAAGAAGCTTTGGCAAAGTGTAACAGTGAATTACTGGCTTCTAGGAATCTGTGTGCTAGAACGTCTAACAAGCTTCAGACATTAGAAGCACAACTTGCCATCATCAACCAACAAAGAAGTCCCTCAAAAGCGATTGTTCAGATTCCTGCTGAACCATACTCAAGTCAAAATGCTAGCAATCCACCGAGTGTGACATCTGTATCTGAAGATGGAAATGATGATGACAGGAGCTGTGCCGATTCATGGGCAACAGCTTTGATCTCCGAGCTCTCACAATTCAAGAAGGAAAAGAGCACTGAGAAGTCAAATAAAACTGAAAATGCAAAGCACTTGGACCTTATGGACGACTTTCTTGAGATGGAGAAGTTGGCTTGTTCTTCAAATGATTCAACTGCAAATGGTGCAATCACCATTTCAGGTTGTACCACCAATAAGATTTCTGAAACTGTTAATGGTGTTGCTTCGAGAGAGATATCTTGCAAGGAACTCCAGTCTGAAAAGCAGCATGATTTATCTCCATCAGTAAATCATGTATCTTCAAATATGGATTTGTCAGTAGTGTATCCTGGATCTGATGCAGACAAATTGCCCGTTATGAGGCTTCAAACAAGGCTCACTATGGTGCTTGAATCAATGTCTAAGGATGCTGATGTGCAGAAAATTCTGGAGGACATCAAAAGCGCTGTGCAGGATGTACATGATACCCTGAGCCAGAACCCTGTAAATGGTATCTCTGAGGAAGTGCATGACTCTGATGGCACATGCAATGGACAGGCTTATCCTGGAGATAGTAGTTTAACTGCAGAGAAGGAAATTGCTAAGTCCCCAGGTGATATGGTGACTTCAGAAACTGTGCAAATTATAAGTCAAGAATTAGCTGCTGCGGTTTCTCAGATTCATGACTTTGTACTGTCCCTGGGAAAAGAAGCAAGATCAGTTGATGACATATCTTCTGATGGCAATGGATTAAGCCAAAAAATTGTTGAGTTCTCTGTCACCTATGATAAGTTCTTATGCAGCAATGTGAGTTTGGATGATTTCATTTTCAATCTTTCTACCGTTTTAGCCAAAGCCTGTGAACTAAGATTCAATGTGCTTGGCTACAAGGGTAATGAAGTGGAAATCAATAGTCCTCATTGCATAGATAAGGTTGCTTTACCAGAAAATAAAGTAACTCAAAAGGATTCATCAGGAGGAAGATATCAAAATGGCTGTGCTCACATTTCAAATCCAACTTCCAATCTTGAGGTTCCTGATGATGGAAACCTGGTCTTGCACTATGAATCAAAACAATTGAGCAAATTCACTCCAGAAGAGTTCGAGGGATTGAAGTTGGAGAAAGAAAACATGGCAATGAATCTTTCCCGATCTACTGAAAATCTGGAGATGACTAAGTCTCAGTTACATGAAACCGAGCAGCATCTAGCAGAAGCTAAATTTCAATTGGCTTCTGCTCAAAAGTCAAACAGCTTGGCTGAGACACAGCTCAAGTGCATGGCAGAGTCATATAGATCACTTGAAACACGTGCAGAGGAGTTAGAGACTGAGGTGAACCTTCTACAGGTAAAAATAGAAACTCTGCAAAATAAGCTTCAAGATGAAAAAGGAAGTCATCATGATGCTTTAGCCAGATGTAAGGAACTAGAAGAGCAGTTGCAAAGGTAAGTATCAAACTCTTTGTATTTGATGTAGAGTTGCTATCAAGTATCAACTAATTGTTGTGTGATCTTATATGCCAGTGAATTTACATATAATTATCTCTAACATAATTGTTTTCCATCACTTTTAGGAACGAGAGCTGTTTTGTTTGCTCTTCAGCAGCTGATAATGACCTCAAGAGTAAGCAGGTGAGGCTATATTTCATCTTGTGTTTCTTAAAACTGGTCCTTTTGGACCCACTTTGAGATCTAATATTAGTGTTAATAAATACCTAATATCCATGCATCCACGAGCTGCAGAATCCTTCTAAATTGTCCCATTTTCCTGAAATAAGAAAATACTATAAACAAAGTTGACATAGTAGTTTCTTAAAGCATTGACAGATATTTAAAGTATTGCCTTTAAAAATTCCATGCATCCAATGTTTATTTGTTTTTAAAAGTGATAATATAGAGTGGTTTTCTAGAACTTTAAGTCAATTCACATGAATTTTAATTTTAACTTTCACTTTTATAAGTTATGTAGTCTTGTGTTTCATATTTGTTGTTGAAACTTTTGCTCATTTATACATTGTTTTTGCTGCTTCAATTTGTTAAAATGTGTAGCATAGCATAATTCCTTTTAAGTGTAACATGGAAATAACATATAACCATAAAAGAAAGGCAAATAATAAAAATTTTAAGTGCTCTTATGGGGCAATAAGTCTTCAACTAATTATCGTAACATAAAAGCCAAGCTTGTTGACAATATAACTAATCTCCCAGTGAACATTAGTGGCAACCCAGTCTTTCATCCCCCCCATATAGTCTCTACTTGAAGGTCAACCATTGCACATAATATATTAGGTTGTCAATGAATGGTTAATTTGTTATTTGCAACCAGGGCACAATTCAGTTTTTGTACAATTATTCTTCCGCCTTTTAAGGTTCTAATTTTACTTCCACAATTGCTCGTCATGATTCTTGCTGGCTGTAGTTTGTTGGTAGGCTTAATCAAATATAAGGCATCTGAATGAAGATTGTTTTATGTCGATCACAGGAGAAAGAATTAGCAGCTGCAGCAGAGAAATTAGCAGAGTGTCAAGAAACCATATTCCTTCTTGGCAAGCAATTGAAATCTTTGCGCCCTCAGACAGATATGATGGGATCACCATACAATGATAGGAGCCAAAAGGATGAAGGTTTCCATGAGGCCGAACCCACTACCAGCGGATTGAACTTGCAAGACTTAGATCAGGCAGAGATAGACACTGCTGCTTCTGGCAATGCAAGCAGAACAGGTGCGGAGTCCCCCATGGAGTCATTTAACATGCCATGCAGCCCATCTGATGTTGAATCAAACATTTTGAGATCACCGATCAATTCAAATAATCTAAAACACAAGTCTACCATGCCAAGCACTTCATCTACCTCGTCTACCCCAACGCCAGAGAAACATTCACGAGGCTTTAGCAGATTCTTTTCCTCCAAAGGGAAGAATGGTCATTAAGCTGCAGCTCGTGGGCATCAAAGTTGATGATTGAGGAGGCAACTTAATAAAAATAAGAAGAACCAAAGTTTAGAAACCTCCATATTCCTTATTCGATGCTAGAAACAGCTTCGAGGAGGGGTCTTTACTTTGGTAGCCGAAGTGTTTTCATGGGTTTCACATTGTGAAGTGATGCTTGGACGTCAAAGTAATTTTGTAACTAACGACTGTATGTGGCATCCATCTGTATTAAATATTTTTTCCTCCCTTCAATCCCCTTTGTTATTTGCCCAAGTGAATGCGACGTAGTTCTGTACTGTTCAATATATTCTGAATATTACTGTATTTGGCAGTTTCTTTTGAAGCAACCAAAGAGCGGAGAAGAATTTAAAGGTAATACATTTTCCATAATCGTATCCTACAACAAATTTAATTAGTGTTTCTGGAAAAGGTTTCGACTTTTGACAGATTATTTGCAGGTTTAATGCCTTAATTGTAAATCTAAATGGGCTGGGGCCATGCAGGGATGAGAGAGAGCTATTTTCAGCATGTTAACCTTTTTATCTTCCATTTTTTCCGGGCCCACCTAAAATTTACTCTTTAGAAGGGATGAAGAATGGGAGAAACAGTTTGCACATTGAATTATTGATAGTTGCAATTTGCATTACAGATTTTGGTCCCCTCTGCCCTCTTGGGCTCGCACTTCAAGACTCCAGCTTTGAACCTTAATTTGATTGATATCCCAAATTTGGGTTGCCATTCCCATTCTATCTATACAGATATTTTCATTCCAGGAGATTTATCTACTTGAGTAAAATGTCATGATATCAACCCCTCTTCGGGTTTTTTTTATAAGCATTTAATATCAGATAGAAAAACCCAAAAACAGAAGAAAAATTTTCCAGAATTTCTCAGCTTATAGTTAAGAATGCAAACTCATTTCACAGGTTAAAGGCTGCTTTTCTCTGCTCTATTATTGACGGCAAAAACAGGGCCGTTAGCAGCTTGCCTTGACTCTCAGAAAAGCAAAAGCACATGCATACAACACTTGATCCACCAGTTCATATATTTTATGTCACGGTCAAAGAACCTTGAACTTAGCTGCTTAAACACATCAGAGAACTAGTTGTTTATTATCCATATGTTTCTGGGCTTGCGTTCACTTCAAAGTCAAGTCGCTCAAGCTGGAAGAAATGACACGCTGTTTCAGACCCGAGTTGTGCGTACTGAAATCATGGATGTTTGTCAGCTTATCATCAATCTTTCAGCCGTTAGAAAAGTAAGAACAATCCAATCCTCGCATGAATCTATATTACGTGGCTGGCTTTTATTTTTCGAATGGAGAAATGCCGGTAGAATAATGCTATGGGAAGTATGGATAAACATATACTTGATTCTTTACTTTTTTTTTCCCCTTTAAGGTATATGGTTAAGGTACTATTTTATTATTCTTTTATTAATATGGAAACAAGTAGAAAAACACAGTAGAATTGGGGAATCAAATAGCAAACCAGCAAGGAATGTAGCTCATCCAAACAGAATATCATGGATAAATATGTGAACTTAAATTAATTTGTTGAGGAATATTTTGGTTTGAATTCCATAAATATTGTTTTCAGACTGATCTCTGTACTCTACAGTCCACATGCATGGTAATATGCAGTACAGCCAGACAAACTTCAATTCATAATGATTTTATTTAAAAAAAAAAGACTTTTTAGAAGTTTAATGACAAGGTACGTGCCAATAACTTTTTGATTGAAAAATTAAAAGAGAAATTATGATATATTGTAAGACTTAGATTCGAGTCCAAATAGCTTCAATTCTCATCTTAAATTAAAAAAAAAAAGTTTATTGTGGAGGTTGACCAAAGAAAATTAAGAGCAACATTTTTATTTTCTCAAAAAATCATAAATCACCCACGTTTAATTTCTCCATTGTGCATGTACAATGTACAGGAATAGGAGTCCAATTGACCAAGACTTGAGCTTTTTGACGAACGAACTACTTTCTAGTCAAACTTACTTTTTTCTTATAAAATGCTAGTAATTGATAAGAATATGAGATATTCATATAAATATTCTTTCACCCAATTTCATCATTTAATTTAATTTTGGAAAAAAGAAAGATGTGTAAGAATCATTCCAAGATCTCCAGAGATGTGTATGAGTAATACTGAGAGGATATTTTTCAACCATCCTTATTGGTTGTAATCAAAGATTTTAGTTGCTTTTCCAAGTTGTATGGTTGGAAAATCTTTACTATAAAGAAAAAGGTTTAAGAGGCAGGCCATGGCTAAATCTCAAATAACTAAGAAACACCCACATATTTTCGAAACCACAACATTGTCTACCCTACAGCAGAGCCCACCTCCCAACATAGGTGGCTTTCCTTGTGCAATACCTAAAATTCTGATACGACACTTTGAAAAATATTTTTAGAAAGACAATTAAAAACAGTGAAATAACAACATCGAGTGGAGCTGCTGCGAACAGCCAACATCAAACAATGTGGCGGAGATGAATAATATCATCCATTCAAACTTCATTTAATTCTTTATCACAACTTGTGATCGGTTCCCCGTTGGATTTCTTTGTTCTAGGAGCTCCTATAATAATTTGGATTCTTTTTTTTTTTTAATAATTTTTCTCCCAAATTAAGTTGCGCATGATCAGTTTGATTCACTTCCCATAATTTTTATGGTTAATCAAGATTTAGGTGAAAAGCATGCCTTCAATCATGCAGTATTAGTTAGAATATTAACACATAATGTGACACTGTAACCACTTGATTTGATGGAAGCACATGGAGTTCTGCTGATTATAATCCAAAACCTTTCTATTATTAGCTTTATCATCATGGTTTATCACAGTGCTTTTGATATTTATATTTAGTATTGTTTTAATCACAGTATTGATCAGTTGCTCTTTGCCGTTAAGCAATTGGTTTTAAAGCTTTTTGTCCATTAATCACGTACGTTTTGTCATCTGAAACAAATGACAACTGCACACTTAACAATTAATTAAGATCAACATTAATATTAGTATTATGCTGTGCTTTATATCTATTGAAGCAATATCATTTTCCATAAAATGGACTGTATATAGGCATATTATGTCAGAAGATTACACTGAATTTGAAGGTTTCTGGATAGAAAGAGATGAGTAGGCACGTGCATTACAGATATTTTATTCGAAGATAAGCTTACTGATAGGAAGAACTAAAGGACTAGAGGAGACAAGATTATGCATGAATTAACAAATTGAAAAGACATGGAAGAAAAAAGTAGAAAAAAAAAAAAAGATTCGCCAACTGTAATTTATTACTCATAAGATTTTAATCTAATCTTTTCTAGCTAAAACAGATCAGCTACCATACTATTATACATGTGAACCTCTGTCTTCATTTTATGAATTTGATTGATGGTGGTCCCTCATTCTTAGGAGTGTATTTGGATGTTTTATCTGGAATGTTTCAAAGCCATTTTAACCCATCACTACTCAAGATTAGGAACATTGTTTAATTCATGTACTAAGTAAAAGATGAAGAAGAAAGAGCTAGGTTTAAGGTATAGACAAAACAAAGTCTTATATATGGCTTGAGTAAAACAAATAGGAAAGTAAAATATGTACAAATCAGCCATTCAGCTAAGACCTGAGGGCTGAGAGAGCTAGGTTTAACGTATAGTATTATATATACTATTATATATAGTAAGATTTGAGAACCATAATTTGCATGTCAGTTCATGATTGGATAAAAATTTCGAAAAGAAATCAAAACCTGATCCAGTGAACCATAACAGGAAAATGTTTTGTTATGTTATCGTGTTGCCCGGTTAGAGCCATGTTCTTCAACTGAACTTCTGCTAAGAAACAATTAAATGATTTCTACTTCTATTGTTACTTTTTTTAGGGGTAAGAGGTTTTTAAGCATTTAAATCAACACCAAACTCTCAAATTTTTTTCTTTTTCTCCTGTTTTTTTTTTTTTTTTCACACCATGGCCAGAAACTTTTTAGCAATTTATCTAAACTTAAGCAAAAGCCAAAAGCAGCCTAAACAGGGCATTGGTGTACAGTCCGGTCAGTACTGTATAGCATTTTTTTTCTTTTTTGAAGGTGGTCCCACAAATAAAATATTGAAACAGCTTGGAATTTTATGTCCTAAAAGCATGATAGTATGGTCATGATAAAGATCCTAGTCTCGTCATTTAAAGGCTTATGGCTGCTGCCCATCGTGTGAAAACTATATATTAGTGTGTTATAGCTATCAAACTTTCATCAGCAATCTGAACATCCAATTTGTGGGTCACCACTTGACTTGAGTGAGGCCATTGTTCACCCTCTCTATATTATATATACGAGATTTCTTCTTTATGGGGGTCCCCTTCACACGGCAGTCCTAGATGGATGTTGATTGATAAATGTAGTTTAAACATTTTTTTGAGTAATTTGAAGGAAGAGATTAAGTGATGAAGGTTGGTGATCAGTAAAAAATGCATGTAACAAAAGTGGATTTTTTATGGAATCAAGTGAAAAAGTTGGTGGAAAAGATAAAAACCTATTTTACATAACTCCAACGCGAAGATGCTGCTGAGAAAGACTGATCTGCACGTGTGGGAAAATAACTGAAACTTGCACAGGATTGGAAGTCGGAAACGATCAATCGAAAGAAGTACTTTTCGCTTTTTTGCTTACATTTGTATAAACACAAGGAAAACTATCAGGCTTTTCAGATTATAACCCGAAACAAAATCAAACAAAGTTGGCTAACCAATGAAAGTTTCGTTATAAAATACCCGTAATAGAATAAAAAAACTTCCTATGTATTGTCTAAATTTCTTCAATTTTTTTCTTATTATTAGTCCAAACTCCAATCAACACTTTGTTTTTAACTTTTTTTTTCCTTTTTTTTTTTTGGTTTTTATGGTTGAAAATGAACAGAGAACTCAGACTACCATTTCTTTTTTGTTTTGTTTCAAGAGTTTTGCCTTCATCTCTCTCTGGCAAAACATTCCAAATTTCTAATGAGCCGTCTGTTGGATATCGTTTTTAAAAGTCGTTAAACGGCTTTAACTGTTAAATTAACCTGAAAGAGGCGTAGGCAATAAAAAATACTGAAAGCTAAGAGACAAATCCATGAAAACTGGTGAGCGTGTGCCTATCCAGGGCCTTGTGCTCGTTCGTGCAGGAGACAGATTGGGATGGGAGGGAAAAGATTTAAAAAGGATTTTAGGTAAAGTTTGTAAAATTTTTTATTTAAAATGATTAAATAAAAATTAAATAAAATATCAAATCAATAAAAAAACTTTTATATTAATTAAGTGTGCAAATTTTGAAAAAAAAATTTTTTGATATATTTTTGATATAAATATTTTAATAAAAATTTTGATAAAATTTTATTGTTAAATAAATATTTTAAAATATAAATTATAAATAATTTTTTTATTAATTTAATTACTTATTATTAATTTTTACATTAAATTCTATTAATTTATCAATTAAAATTTTTATTAAATCATTTAAAAGACTTTACAAATTCCATCTAAACGTTTCATATCTGTCTGATAAGAGAGCAAAAAGATGCAGAGAGAAAATAAAATAAAGGGGTCCACCGTGCAGCCCCAAATCCTGGATATTAGTTAACAGGGTACATTGGTAGTTCATTTACAAACCACACCTGAACTAGGAAAGGAAAATTTTCGAACTTCCTCGGATTTACAAATCTAAAACCCAGATAATTAAATAATATTCATGGGTTTTGGGGTCAGAGTTTAAACAACTCCGTAAAAAAAGGAGAAAATCTAATCAGGAAGCAATGAAGTAGCTTCATCTTAATCATTTTCTCCAAAAATAGTTTTCATATCAAAGCCTAACCATTAAACAGTCTTTATCTTGATTTTGCTAGCTTTTTTCAACTGAGCATGGATGTTAGAGACTGGAAAACGACTTCTTCACAAGGAATGGTTAGCCCCATGTTGTGATCAAAACCAAATTCTTCTTCAGCTTGATGAAGCAAGCTTTGAAACTCCGGTCGGGTCAAGAAAGAGATGGGAACAATGTATCTGCTTCTGTTTTCGCCAACATATACAACAAAATGGCCTTTTGGGACATCCAAAGGGAGTCCTTGTTCATCATAGCTTTGTTTTTTTCCCAAGCTGGAGCACCTTTTCAGGATTTGCTTGATAACTGCTGTTTGAGGCAATTTGTTTGATTTCCTGATCGCCATTTTCTTCTGAAAGTACTGTAAAACTTGTGGGGTAATAAAGAAGAGAAATAAGATTATATGTTTTTTAGATTTTAGAGGAAAGAGTAAGAGAGAAGAGTTTAGATGAGAGGTGGTTTGAAAGAAAGAAGGGGGTTGGAAGGGGTATATATGGTGAGCTAATAGAATTTGAAAGAGAAACAAAGTCATGTGGGGATGTAGGGACGAAGGGCAAACGGTGGGTGTCTTTGGGTTCCATGAGAGCTCACTGGACATGCCTGAAGGCAACCCCATTGGGATTACACACCCTATGTAGCCCTCCCGAAGGACATCGTGGTCCCTCTCTCTTTCTTGCCTTCAAGTACTGTGTACTTTATTACTCGAGAAGTAGCCCGGCCCTTCAATTTTCTATGTCTACTTTTAAACTCTTTCCTGGATTCATATTCTTTTGCCTTGGAGAAAAATAAAAATCTCTGTACTGGTACACTATTTTCTCGACCTTTAAATTTAATCAGAGAAAATGTTATCAAGTGAATGAATTATGGACATTGATTAGGTGAAACTCCCTTTTCTTCGTTTATAATTCAGAGGTCAATGGTAACTGTACTAAGGAGTACCACCACTTGCTGCTGTGGGATTTTGGCCTTAATTTTTAAGCTTGTGATTCTGAAGTCGATTGGCAGATGAAATAGCAAGGATTCACATGCATGTACGAGCTAACTTTCATGCTTCTTTTGGCTGGTTTTTGATGTCCCTATCGATTGAAAATCATTTCATCATTTAATCGACTAGTCTTACTTTGGTTAGTACTTATTGCCTGTTGATGTTTAGGTGCTTAATTGCTTGGTTTTGTCTCATCTGCAACGTCGCTCGCTTATCTCCAATTTCCACCTCTATTTTGATCGTGAAAAGAACTTTCGGGGTTCAATTAATAACCTCGCTAAGGTCTAGTTTACAGGAAATATCCGATTCTAATCAATTTAACTGGCACTGTTGACATAACTAATAACAATTTGCTTAGCATACATAATGGATTTTGAGTTGTTACATAATTAAATATTTTTGTAATTTCATTATTCATTGGTAAACTTTATTTCTCTTTCCAGGTTTCGACATTGTAAAAATTTCATCTAACAATTTTATCTTAACATTTCCTTTATCATGTCGTGAGCTAATACATAATTCCATCAAAATAACTCATGATCTTATAATAAATGTCACATTGCTTAAGAACTTTGGAATGTGGGGATTTATCATAAGATCATGATTTATATTTTTCTAGACAATTCCTTGCATTGAAGGCAAAATCTTAGAGATTTGATTTTGGATATAATGTAGATAAGGAATATATACTAGTAATTACGTGAACGAACTAATTAGAGTTGGGATCGAGAAATCAATCAGTTTGATCAAGGTTCAAGGATATAGTTAGGGTTCTATCAAGTAAATAATTCCAAATTAAATTGAAACCAAGGTTTCTTACGTATAAGTTGGGCAATAAATGTGTGGAGCTAATTCCAAAGGCATTAGGTGACATATTCAACCCTTAGCAGCCGTGCAATAACAGTACAACAAATTTGAAGAATCTTTCGTGAGATTGGGAGAACATAAAATGTCCCACTGGACCACAGTGTTGCAAATTAATGGCAGATCAAGCAAGAAGACTTTGGCTATTCCAAACATCATCCCTTTCTCTTTAATTCAACTACAATCTCAATAGCAGATGTTATTATTGATTTAATTGATCTCCAAAATATATATTTTTTTTATTTTTCTTTTTTTTTGTTGCTTGGCAAATTCTTTCTTTCTTTCTTTCTTATTGTCTGCTTTAGATATAATAGTAAGCAAATTAAGTTATCACATTCTTTTTTGTTTTTCTTGGATAATATGATTATGGGTATTTTTAAGTTCTTGTTTGGATTTTATTTATTTAAAATATACATTTTTCTACGTAAATTTATTTACGTTTGAGCTAACAAAATATGAAAAACTATTTTTTTTAATGATTTCTCAATGAATTTGAAGTCAAAAAAATAAAAAAAATGAATAGACTTTTTTATCGCTAGAACTAACATTTACAATTAAAATTTTAAGAATTTAAAGGGATCCTATTCTCTAATTAGAATAATGAAAATAAATTAATTGGCATTATATTATATTATAATTTATAAATTAATTACTCATTTTGAAGCAATCGTTTGTGTTACGGAAAGTGCATGCTATGCATTTACATATTTTCCAGAATCTACATACCTCTCATCTAGAAAGTGACTCTTCCATAGACAATTTCTCTCTAATTACTATATCATTTATTAAAACAGATTAGGACAAGCTTGGTAAATTAATCAATTAACTTTTAATTATGTTAAAACATATTAGAGTTAAATGACATTAATTCGAAACCCCCCCTCCCAAAAAAAACAAAAAGGACGAAAGAGTACGTTTCCTCGAAAAGTCTTGTTATGTAAATATTTAAGGACTTTGGTAATCGGTATGGTGTGGTCCTTAAGCTAGGCTAGCGGATCGAACTACCAAATATGAGCGTAGTCATAATCAGAAATAAATTAGAAATTAAATGCGAACCACTTGTCTCTTCCCTATCGACCCATCCTTATGATCCAGCCAGGATCTCTGATCTCTTTCCTCTCTCATGTTCTATGGTCCATAAAGAGCCAGAGCCGGTCTTGATTTCTAACCAAAATCTTGCTCTAGTTAATGCTTTGGTACCACTAGGTACGTCTGGCCCATGTACCCTCTTGCAAATCTCCCTGCCCCTTTATAATCTTATATTATCATTATCACTGCTTGTTACCTATAGCATTAACTATATATTAGTACATTGATGGCATATGAATTCTTTACGTAATTAATGTTATATGAATAATTTGATAACTCGTATGTTTATATCATATGAAATAATGATAATTTATGTATTTGTATTATATTTTATATGAAAAATATATATAATAATTCGTGTTGATACGAAAATATAAAATATATATTTTTTATTTTGTTAAATTTATTTATGATTTTTATTAAAATTTTATATCGTATTATTTTCATATCGTTAATTCGTATCGTTTTATATCATATTATCATATTATATCCAAGATTGTCAAATTTGAGGCCAGACTCCTTTGATTTATTCATGTAAAATTTTCTTTATTTTAGTTCCAAAAACTTTTGGTTGGAATTAGAATCAAACATGTTGAATTCCAATCGAAAATTTGTCCACTAAATGTTACTATATATGGTTGGTCATATCCTGATTGGCAAAAGCCTGGATGTGGTCATCATAGGCTTTGAGAACCGAGGCAAGTATTATAGGGTGGGAAGAAAATGATCTCATTTTAAAAGGGTTGCACATGGAGGCCATGTATCCTTTGCCCCCAAACCTTCTTGTTAAGACAAAAATTTAAGGTCCCTTGCCTCATCTGATTAACCCAACCGCTTAATTGTTAGCTTAACCCTCCGAATACATATCTATCTGTTCCTGATATTCCTCCAGGATCTCCAATTCTCTGCATTTTAATTTTAACAAAAAGATGAGTAGGGGAATTCGAAAGTTTACCTTGTTTTGTTAATCATGAACGATAAGGAGATGGAAGTAATGTTAATAACGTACAAAAGTAATTGGTTTCAGGTGACCATCTACCCTCAAAATATCCATAGATAGCCATATTTAGAATGTGGTTCTCGTAACTGAAGATGGGGGGTCATGCAAATTGCTTGGAAAGAAATCATTCCTTTAAGAGAAATATATATAGACAGCAATAAACATGTTTCAAACCACCGAGAAAAAGCTAGACACCGACTTCACAATCTATAAATATAAAGGAATACTTAACAAACCAGAGGCAAATAACTAGGGAGGAGAATGTGCCCCTTAGAAGTAACCAACCCGATCAGATATACTCAATGGAATTTCAAAAGCGACAATTTCTCAAAACCACATGTTATAACATATAGATCTGTAAATCTATAACTAGATTTAATAAGAGAAATCGCAACAAATTTTTTTTAACTTGGTGTGATGGGCCACTTAATGAATCTATCATTTTAAGAAGCTCCTAAACTTGACTAAGGGTCCTTAAAAAAATATGTTTTGATCTACTAATCAGAATAGAGTTCGAGAGTTCAGTTACATATGGAGAAGATATAGCACCCCCACATGCCTATCCAAATGATGATACCATTTTATTTTAAATTATCCTAAAGTCTTGATTTTAATAATCTTAAATTTTATATTAGAAATAATTTTTAAGATTTCTCCATCAATCTGGTGAAATTCCTTAAAAATGTTTCCTCACATTAGGAGCATTCAAGAATTTTATTTATTTTCTTAAAAAGACTCTGTTATCGGAAAAATTTAATCATATTTGTTTTTTTATTGAAAACATATCTAATTCATCCATAATTTGGGCCAAAATTAAAAATATCTTTTCACCTAAATTTTTTTTTGATAATCAACAATTTGCAATTATTAAGAATTTCATCATCAAAATTTATTTTTATTTTTTATTTTTATTTCTAAATTTTTTACCATTTGGGCCAATTAGAAATTTTCTTTTTAATTTCTAAATTTTTCAGCATTTGGATCTATTTAGAAATTTTTTTTTATCTTTGGAAAGAAAATAATATGATAACTTTTTTCTTAAAGTTTCATTTACATTCTTCCATCATTTAGGATAAATTTAAAGAAATTTCTCACCTAGAGATTTTTTAAAAAATTTACCATTTGAAATTTTTAAGATTCTCATCATTGGATAATTATTAAATGTTTTCAACTAAAATTTTTTTATTTGGAAAAGAATGCAATTACTTTTATTGAAATTTTATTTAAATTATTCCACCATTTGGGACAAATTTAGAAAAAATTTCTTAACTAGGAATTTCTTAAAAATTTATCAATTGAAATTTTTAAAAATCTCATCATTGGGTAATTAGCATTTTAATTCCAAAATTTTATTAAATTTATTTTTTTATTTTTATTTTTTAAAAAAATAAAAAAAAATTATTATTGAATCTTTCTCTAAATTATTCTACCATTTGAGACAAATTTAAAAAAAATTTCTCACCTAGGAATTTTATAAAAATTTACCATTTGAAATTTTTAAAAATTTCATCATTGGATAATTATTATTTATTCTAAAAAATATTTTATTCTATTTTATATTTTTAATTTTCTTAAAATTTAATTATGCAAAAATACTTATAAAATAAATATAATAAATAAATAAATAAAATAAAATAAATTAAAAAATACCAAAAAAATTGACTCAGTTTGGAGGCTGGAATGGCTTGGCTGGAGACATAAATGGCCGCTTAGAGATGCAACTTGGCTTGGCTATAGACATGGCTAGAACACGAGTCAGCAGA